CGAGAGACCATTAGTGGCAGATTTATCAGCGCAAGCGTCAACTTATTTTCATCCCTTCTTTTTCTCTATTATTTTTCTCTCTTACTCTTTTCTCGCTCTCTCTTTTCTTTCTTTCCCTCCTCCCATTTAAATATTTATATCAAAAATTCTTTATAAATATTCAATACCATTCATTAAGATGCAATAATTAAACCACTTAATTTTTTTAATTAAAACAAACACATAGATTGCGATTTTTTACAAGTTTGAAACAAAATATTAATAAAAATAAATTAAAATAACTATATATAGAAAAGAAGTCTGCGAAGAGTTGAATTTTTGGAGATAAAATCATTGTAAAGAAGATTTTTGTTTCGAAAAGCCAAGAAATAATGGTGAATACTGTATAGAATATAGATTTTTTTTCTTCATTTGACATGTTCGCTCTGATTCTCTTTTTAACCCTGGCTGTCTCACTCACCCCTTGTATATCTCATTGTTTGCGCGTGTCACGCGCCATCAGGGGAAACCGTGTCCGACGATTTCCTGATGACACCTGGTTTAACTCGTTTTTTTGCACGACTCTCTCCCCCTCCCTGTCTCACCGATATGTTCTTTTACCTCACACTCAACATTACTATCATCCGTGTTGGTTATTTTTTTTATATTTCCTCTGTTTCCCTTTTTACCCTCATTCGACCCCTTTTCATGTAAAACAAACGAGTGTGTCATTTATAGCAATATCAAAATTAATCAGTAATCTCAACTGAATAATATTCAATTACAACAAAAATGTTCTGATAAGTAAACTGAGTAAAAATTTAAATTTATTTTTAAAAGATTTCATATGTATATTATTTTGTTGATTACGAATGAAAATACAATCATTTGAATATATTAAAACTGATCAAAGTAGATTAAATAATAGAATCAATTTCTTTACAATTTATTACATTTATATTTGTGATTTTTTTTTTTTGAATTTTCAGTGATGACTAGTCTATGAATTTAGCTTTATTGAACTCTTTGATCCAACTCATTATCAAACAATATTCTATTTACTTATGTAAAATAATATTTAAATTGAAAAGATAGAAATAAGTGAAAACAATGATTAATAATTAGCATTCTTCTTGGCAAACTTGCACATTAAATAAATCCATAAACATAAATCCAAGATTTCAGAGATTGATTTGAATAGTCATGTTATGAAAGTCCATCAATATCGTGATAGATCTTTCATATTTTGATTTTTTTCGAGACTGTTTGTTTATTTAGTAATTTCAAAAGATAAAGTACCCAATTGCTGTAAACTCTCTTCGTGATTGAAAAAAGGTAAATGTCACTGTCGAAAGGATTTACGTGACAACCATGATTGTGTTATTTTCTCAGTTACCAGTCGACACTTATTGAAACACCAGACAATCCTCCTGACTATCTCAAGTAGTCTTTCAATTATTTTACACCTGCGGAAAACAAGCAGCCAACAGACGTCGTGAGAATTTCAAGCTTATAAAATGTATGACTATATAAAGACCAAAAGATTTTAAGCTTATTATATTGTAGATTATAATAATAGTCTAAGTGAAAGTGTTCATTAATGTCTGGTCGACCACCTGTGATATCTATATTTTAGATTACTATCCATTTAATTTATATCATCGGAAAAAAAATTATAATAATGTTCCAACGATTTATAACACTGCTAAATAAATTTTCAATTAAGTCAATGACTAAGTAAATAAATAATAATTCATTTAAACATGCATTATTCAGTCATTTTCAGCTGGTAAAAAAAATCCTTTAGTAGTATAAATTGATGTTAATTATTTTTTATTTTCAGGTTAAAATAGGAAGGAAAAATATGTTTTTAACAAAATAAAGTCAAGTCGAGTAAGTAATTGTATACTTTCATTTCGTTTATTAATTAAAATTCAGTAGTAATTTAGTTTTTGCCATTTTAACAAAACATTACCAATCACTATCAGGTTTATTCCTTTATTTTATATTATTAATAATCAATATTTAGTATTATAATATACAGGGGGAATTTTAATAGATTTGTTTGTGTACGTAACCCTTGCTTTTGCACATTTATATCATACAACATTCATTCATTTATTCGTTTACGTTCCTATACATCAATTTTTTCATTTAATCTATTCTGTATCTATATCTTTTTCATTTTTTTTCTTTTATATTTTTTCATTTTATCGTGTAAATGTTCTTTATGTACGGCTTTCAGGTAATTTATGTACAAACGATAGAATATAGGTACAAGTTCTATTAGCTAATCGCGTTTTTCATTTCATTATTATCAATTATTTTCATCAATTTTTTTATTTCATTTTTACCCTCACTTTCCATTCAGTCGTGACTTTACATTATTTTCTATCATTTCAACCTTTCTCTCTCTCTCCCTTTTTTCTTCATTCACTCATCATAGTACATACATTTTATTAAAATAACAAAAACCAAAATATACAATAAAAACAAACGAATTAAACAGTTGACGATTTATCTTCGCAAAATAACACTTTCATTCATTATTTTTACAATTTTTTAATATTTTTCGTAATAAATTCAGTTAACTATCTATACATACGTTCACGAGAAAAAATAATTATCGGCAAGTATAAAATTATGACAACGATTATTACATAATAAATAAATTTAATAAAATTAAATTACTCGCAAAAGACTATCCTCTTTAAATTTCAAATATTACAATTAGTTTAACTGTAAAAATTTATTTATACTCCCTTTTTACAACTGTCATATTTTACCTACAAAAAAAAAAAAAAAAATTTCTTATCAAATAATTCCTAAAAAAAAAACGAAAAATTATTTCAATGATAAATAAATTTTTCATAGAAGCGTAATTATTGCGAAGAAATACGTCTGATCTCTGAGAGGCAAAAATAATTCAATTGGTCTGGTAATTAAAAAAATTTCTATCGAAAGAAATAAAATAGTTTCTTCTTTTCAACGATTTTATCTAAAAATTAACAAACGATTGTTATACATTTTATTTTTTTAAATTATTTAAATTAATTTTCTCTCAATGAGTTTTCGATGTTTTTTTTTTTTTTTGTTTAACGATGTCTAAAGATAGATATATATTATAATATTTACAAAAAAATAACTTGGGATAATCACGGTGTTATATCAAGCCCAAGATATAAACAATTCGAGTAATACTAGTATTACACAATGTATATATATATAAATAATATATACATACACACTTTTCGGGGCCAGTTGCACAGCGAGCACGTCTACTGGACTCATTACTTTATAAACATATTGCTCTGATCTTATTCTCTTACTGAATACTTACAATAAATACTGGCCCATTCGTGAAGAAGAGCCACTAATAGAGGTTTTAAGATAAAAAGAGAGAGCGAGAAAAGTTAAAATAAACATTTTTATTTTATTCAGGTAAATTTAAGTTCTCATATAAATATATATAAATAGTTTTTCTTTTTTTTCATTATTTATTAACTTATACACTGAATAAGAAAATAAAGATTCTTTCATGGTACGAGCAATATCCATTGAGCTTAATGAAAAAAAAATATTGAACAATTATTTTAAATTATAATTAAGAAGAAAAAAATCAAACAGGAACTTTTCGTCATGAAAAATATGACAAAGAAGCTGCGCTATATAATACGCGCTCGTTTCGCTTCTGGCCACGAGCAATACTATAATAATATTATTAATTAATGAAAATTGACGGTAATAATTCATAGTAATAATAATGACAATAATTATCGGTTTTGTTTACAATCTATAATAAAATTTCTCAAATTACTATTTTCTTTATAATAATAATTATTATTCACTGTTAGAAATAATAAACTGTGATTTACTTATTCAATGTAAATAAACAATTTTAATTCAGTAATTTTTAACAAATTTTTTTCTTTATCAATAGATATACATTTTTTTTTAAAAATCGTTTTATTATTCACAATTTATTATTTCACATATCATCTTTTGTTATTTATTTTCTATTTTTTCTATTTATCTCACGTTCATCATACTTACGTTCATTTATACAGAAGGGAGAGGACTTTTTTTTTCAATTTTCACGCAAATTTCACAAATGAGTTTTATTGTTCATCATAGCACTAAAAACAAATATTGTTTTTTTTTTATTTCTTTTAAATATCTGTGTCTGTTTTAATTGATTTTGTTATTTAACCACACTCACGCATTTTATTTCATTCAAAATTAATTCTTTATTTTTTATGTTTATTAATTCTGTTTTCTAAAGGATCTTCATTCTTGAAGGGTGGACTGTAGGATAATTACGTCGATGACGTACGATGCAGCATGCTCACTTAACTTACGATATTTATCTGGTACATTATTTACAATCCATATTTACTTATGTTACATCACTCGGTGAATTTGCACTGAACAAATTACACGCGAGTACAGAGCACTATCCTACATGCGGTTTGCCTGCGGGCGTTAGTCCCTCTCTCAGTGTATTTTTTTTCACGTAACGCCATGTCTGACTTATACGTAAATACGTTTCAATATATAAGTATATAACATCGCGTGTATTTTTTTGCATTGTGTGCAGATTCAAAGTTTTCGTCTTGATACGTGTCCTCTCGATTCTTCAGTAAGTCTTACACGTTTGTTTATTTTTTTAAAATTTTTGTTACAAGTATTTATTGTACATTTTCGTCATTTAGTCTCATTTATTAATTTAATTTTTTGTGTTTAGTAATATTATCATTACTATTATTATTTAATTAAATTATTAATAATAATTATTTCGTTTATTATTATAATCATTAATTGAATGATGATTAAATTGCAAGTGCAGATGGCCGTCGACGAAAGGAATTGTGAGTGTACTCACTCTTACAGGATCGAGAGCAGGTTATCAGAATGATTTTTCTTCTGTTGAACGTAGATAATCGAACATTGATGATAATTAATGTGAAGGAACGCGTTAGACAACACCCAAAAAAAATAAAAACAATGTCAATTGACGGATGTCACTTGTTAAGAAGTTTGTTTTTTTTTTTATTTAATTACTATAAAAAAGAATACATGACTCTATTATATATACTCTCTCTAAATTTGTGTTTTAATAACTAATAATTATAACTGTCCGACGGTGGTTCATATCACTTTATGTAATTGTTACCACTTTATCGAGAGAGACACACGTCGTCACAAAACAAACTATAATAACAATTCATTAACAACAACGTCGGAACGACGAATAAATAAGTTCTTTAATTACATATTATGTTTAGAGATATGTATATGTATATAAGCACATATACATACACATATATATTTATTTATTTATTTAATCGTACGATTGTCTTTTAAATAGTCTTTTACTTTGAAAGTGTACACATGTAAATCCGTCGTTCCTTTTTTATATTGGCAAATTAACTTGATTTAAATTCGCGAAAATAGTTAAGTATTCTGGTGTCGGACTTGATACACGACCGTCGGCCTCCCCAGTGTACCGACAAGGACTCATCTTGGCTCAGATCGAATGCAAACCCCTTTTGCACATATTGATCATCATTTTCCAGATAAAAATGTTGATGATGTTGCTGCCTTAGCAGCTACGATGCACCGTAGCCTGTGGTGCGGCCCTGGAGGTAGTGATGATAGAAGGGTGGTAGCCCATCGGGGCTTGTTGAATTCGATTGTGAAGTTATAGCGAGGCCCAGCGGGGGAGGCCCCGGCGAACGCTAGTGAGCCGCAAGTGAGTGTGCCGTAAGACCCTGAGGACTCAACATTGGTGGGCTATGGCTGTGACCCATTGGTGAACCATGAAGATGATCCTGCGGATGATATCCTTGATGAAGTCCACCTTGGCTTTGGTGTCCTGGTGGCATTCCTTCCATCATTCCGTCGCCCAATGTATTTGGTGGCGTCATCCTCTTCTCTTTCTGCCGACGGTTACAGAACCACACCCTGACAACTTCCTTCTCCAGCTGAAGGCTGTCTGCCAGTGACGTTATCTCCTGAGCCGATGGCTTTGGCTGCTTGTGAAAGTGTTGCTCGAGGGCACCCTTGACTGACACCTCGATGGACGTACGCTTTTTCCTTTTTCTACCTTGTGCTGCAATCTTGTCGATGCTGGTTGGTGAACCTGTCGTCGAGTCTGCTTCCTCCAGCCATTTTTGCAGTAGAGGCTTGAGTTTACACATATTTTTGAAACTCAACTGTAACGCCTCAAACCTGCATATCGTTGTTTGTGAAAATACATTGCCATACAAAGTGCCAAGTGCCAGACCAACGTCTGCTTGAGTAAAGCCTAACTTAATTCTTCGTTGCTTGAACTGCTTGGCAAAAGCCTCGAGGTCATCTGACGTAGGTGTCTCTTCTTCTCCAGCACTGTGATCCCTGTCAAGAGGATGCCCTGGATGAAGTGGATGTCCCGAAGGAGGACTGTGGTTATGAGATTCTCTCAAATGATGTGGCAAACCCGCTTGATGATTGTGCAGCTGGTGTGGATGTTGATGGGGATGTTGGTGTAACATGCCGTTCATGGCAGCATGATATTGCTGAAGGGCAGTTGTTGGTGATGCAGCACCACCACTAGGATTATAATGAGCCGACGGAACGGGTGCATGCCAAGAATGTGGTGAACCCATACCGGGAGATTGATGAGGACCCCGATGATGCATGCCCTGTACAGATTCCGTGGCAGTGGCCGCCGCGGTTAGCGGTTTAACATCTAAGCTAGAGTTTCCCTGATGGGGATGATGGTGAGGATGATGTGTTGTATGATGCATCCCCATAGATGCTGTCCAAGGATCACTACCTGGTTGCAGACTAACCCATGGATTCGTCGAAGATAAACTTGCCGGATGCGATAAGCCATTAGGCGATGGCGATGATGATACTTGATGGTGGTGATGATGATGATGATGATGCTGAGGCGCCGGCATGTATTTCATTTCCCCGGCGTCGGCGGCGCTGCGAGGCGAGCCCGAGGAGTAACCACCAACGGCAATATTCATTCCGATAGCTGTACCCGAACCACCGTCCAGGTCGGCCGACACTGCACTACTAATCGGCATGTACGTGGTAGCTGCCATCTACTCCCTCGCTAGTCAATGCGGGGACTTGTCCGTCCTAAAAAATGTCGAGAGGTATCCAACTTGCAAATACCACTCGCCACTGTATTTATATTTTTCTTGTCCGTAAAAAAACCTTTATTTCTTTCTTTTTTTTCTCGTTCACTTATAAAGCCTACAACCTGTTAGACCAAATCCAATCGTCAACCCAATACGATAGAAACACCTTAAATTATCAAACTGACTGGGCTCGACTAGAACTTGAATAGCAGATAGAGGTCTTACAGGTATTTCTATTTCAACTGTAAAACTTGTTCAGACTCAACACCAAAGTTCAATTCACAATAATTATTCTTATACTTAATATAAAGTCTTAAACGAGAATTAATTGATTTCATTCACTACCGATATTTGGCGGTAGGCTTCTGCATGATATCTCACAACATTTCACTATATTTCTTTTCATGTTCTTACGCATTTTCAGTACTTATTACCAATCGCTGATATTTTAAGTCGTCACACTGTGTCAATTGATGACAAGTGGTTTTGTAGATTTACTTCTTGTGTGCAAATAGTTGCACACACTGTGCGTTCTACCTCTCACAATCACCCGTAATACTGGATTTGTAAGCACTACTGACTTTTAAGAGTCAATCCAACCTGTCGAACTTGCCCGTAGTCTCCAACTTTAACCAACACTTTAATCACCATAAAAACTGGTCTTGTCACAATGATTAATTTACAAAATAGAATTAAATTAATATCAGCAAGCGGATATTAGACCCAAAGGGTTGGTCCGTCGCACACGTTTATAACTTGAGTCCACTAAAACGCGACTGATTGAAGACGATGGAGATCCCGGGTACAGTGTGTCGATATACCTTTGTTGTGTATAACTTTACTCCCGGACACGAGGACGCGAGAGAGAGAGAAAGAGAGAGAAAAAAGAAATGTACGAGAGAGAAAGATCTGGCTAGCTCTCATGCGTTATGCATGTCGTAGCTGAGAGCGACTGACTGCCTCGCCTCGCAACTCGCCCGAGGTTCCTGAGGTTCCAGGCTTGCCGACTCGTCATGCGCGCGACCTTCTCGTCTCTGCTCCCACCATTATAACATCTGACGCTCATTCGTCCATACGGCAAGGTGGCCGTCGATTCTACGTCACCATTGGGCGGTACCAGCCAACTAACTCCGCCTGTCACCCCAAACTGTCGCTTCTTTTTACCCCTAGCGCGCTTTTCCACTTTCAAGGTGGTGCCAGAAAGTTATAGAACTAAGAGCTGCGCTTCTGTCAAGCTCCACTAGTACGCTGTCGTTTTCTCTTGTTATACTTTGTTCTCATCTCACATTCTTTATCCTTTTCCCATTTGTTTTTCTATCAATCTATCTTTTCTCAACTATTTTCATTTTCTTAAAATTTTTTTATAATTAATTTACAGCAACAGGTCCACTGCCTATTCATCATCTATTTCATACCTATTTATATTTATCCCAATTATCAATTCAACATCATAAAATACTTCAAAAAATTCTACGTCTAAACTCTGAAAAGGTAGAGTGCTCCAAAAATTAGTTGATCAATAAATAATGAAGCATTGATTAATATTAAATTTTGAATGTATCATAGACTTAATTAGAGCTAGATCTGATAGTGTATGATGATATCAATATCAAGTACTTTATCAACTATGCATCAAATATCTTGATTCCAATTATCAACTAATCCACAAATACCTCTTTATTGTATAATTCAACTGAAAATTGTCACAGTCGATATATAAATTTATAAATTCAACATTTACATCAATTAGTTGGTGCAAGAGCTCTTTCACTGCATAAGTATTTACCTCACGCTCCCTCAAGTCTTGAATATCTATAATGGTATATCGTTAGAAAGAATTTTCATATTTTATCGCAATAGAATTGTAACGATTTGATTATACCAAACGAATGTCGTTGTCAAGGTGCAACAGGTAAAGAAGATTTCCTCGCAATAGAGATGAATTTAAATCATCATAATATGTATTACTGCAAATTTTAAGTCGATTGAAACAAAAAAAAAAAAAAACTTTAAGTTTTACTTCCTCCCGGACTCAAGTAATAATCATTTCTATTTTTCCTTAATAATAAATATTAACTCACTAATAATTTATAATACAATATAAAAATATTATTATCTCGTTAATGCATCTATTATAATATGTTGCAGCAATGTATGCACATGTATACAGATGCATCAGTGCATTTACATCAACTGTAGTAGCAACAATAACATCAACAACAATAAAAATAATATTATATCTTCATTGCTTGAATGTTTTTTGTATATGTAATGTGATAGAATGCTAAAATGATTATGTGAATTTGCAGAAATAGCTAGAATGTAGATATATACGTTTCATAAGTAAAAGCTAAGACTTGTGTAGCGCTTTCAAGAATGGTTAAAGCTTGTAGGCTGCAGTGCCTGTCGGTCCTAAGCAAATATTTCACGTGCTGTTCAATCCAATTTGACACAATGGGCTATGTGAAATCGAATTAAAGGTGTATTACGTATATACTAGGTGAATGTTGGGTCGATCGATTGAAACACGCGTTGTATACTGCAGAAAAGTTATATATACACATATGTACATACATTAATAATACCACTAGACCGTAATAATAACAAATGGACTCCAAAAAAAATTTTAATTACTCCGTTTTTCAATATTTTAACTCCACAATGTCTAATTGCTTTATTATTGTTTAAAAAAGAGTCTCTTTTTTTGGTGGTAAAAAAAAACGATTGGCAAGTTATTTAGAGTAGATTTATTGAAAGTTAATGTGGAAATTAAATGGAAAAAGGTGATTGTAATGAAGGTTGTAGATGTAATGTTAAAAAATGAGGAAATTAGTTATGATTTTTTTTTTTAATAAATATTTTTATGAGAAGCATAACTAAAAGATGACTACTGTAGGGATAGAAATTGACAAGTGGTGGGGCTTGAATTTAACGAGCGAGGGAAAGGTGTAATAGGAAGCAAGAATTGAAGGTACGGAGTAGAAGGTATGTAAGTCGTAAAACCAATTGCTAGAGGGCAGCACTACATAGCTTACTATTTAAAAAAGAAAAATTTCTGTCACGATATGTAATATTACTAGAATTATTGACTTTGTTGAGAGGAAAAATAATATTGTGGTGTACTCTAATGACTCTAGTGTTTCTGATTATTGATTTACATGAAAAAAATAGTTTAATAGATTTTTTTTTTTTTTTTAAATCAATGAAATATTAAAAAAAAATATTTTTATGTTTTTTATATTTTTCTAAAGATTTTTTTTAGTATGTTATCTCATTTAGAATCAATGATTTCAGCGTATAGGAAAGGGGAAACAGATACAACTCAAGTTCAGTGAAAAGGACGAGCATCGGTGGCTTATTTACTATCGTAGTTTACGTGACTTGAAATTTCATTGTAAGTCGGCCAAATCTTAACCATAGTGATTTCTGGGACATTTTAATGTAACAAAGCTTTGTGAAAAATATAAATTGGACTGTAACACATTTTTATACAAAGAAAAAAATAGGTCATAGATATATAGTTGGAGTATTTAATTTATATAAACAATATTTAATGTTATTCATTTTTCTTTACTTCTGTAAAATTAAAAAAAAAAAAAATTATTTGATTTAAAAATATTTTTTCCTTCTAAAAAAAACTGTTTCTTGAAGTTCAATATCTTTGTAGACAGTTCTGAGATTAAATATTTTCATACTAGACACTTTCTATTTATTTTTAGTTTTTGTTTATTGTTCATGCATTGAATTTTAATTAAACTTTTTTTTTTTTTATTTTTCTCTAGTCATTCCATCATTAAGAAACCACGTAAACTTGATAATCACTTGAATAATATTTATTTCTAGCTATTATTAGTCTTTCCTTTAAACAAGAATAAATTTATTTATTTTCAAATGTAATTTTTTTCTCTAAAAAATACTATCATTTCGAGTATTCCTGTAAATTGGTCACTTGACATAATTGATCGAATGTACAGCCATTAAAAATTTTCGTCACTAAGGTCCAGAAATTATATTAGGCAGATCTCAAGAGAGGCAGACACTCTAGCAAGAGAAGTGAGAAATTGATTACAGTCATGGTACATAGATTGAATCGACTCAGCTAACTTCTAGTACCACAGTTGCACAAGGAAGGTTGAAACTCATGTAGTCTACCCATAAATTTGACTTGAAAATCACTTGTAACACCTGTACAATCAATTAACATCAATTTCTTTACTTTCAAGATTTTCAGTATTCAAGTACAATTAGTCCTTAAAAATTCTTGACTCTTTCTCACCTATTAAGTCCCAAAAATATCTATATATATATTAAGTTACCAAGGCATTCTTTAACTCTAAAGTATCATCTACCAGACGATAAAATGCATACACCGTATTGAGAGGTGTAGATCGAGGTATCTGTGAACATGAGAGAAGGAACAATACAGCCTGAGGCATCTCTCCAGCAGCCGTCCCACCTCTTTTTTATTCGAACGAGTACTACAAGAAGGCCCAAAAGTTTTGCAAGATAACGATCGATCCCGAAATATGCGCAACACCAATTTGCTGATCAAAATTATTATTAAGAGGTACCCTTTTGCAAGTTGCGAGACTCACTACTACCACCCTCTTGACTTCTTTCTTCTTCTGATATTCTCTTCCTTTTAATTTCATCCCTACTGTGCGTATATATATATATATATTTTGTACAGCCAGACTATAATATCCCATGCGCGAAAAATTTAAAAAGGAATGAAAAAAAGTAGTTGAAAAAAAAAAATGACATAAGAATGAGTGAACTGTGTACGAGAAAAATCTTTTATATATACATATATATATATATATATGTCTACACACATATTCCACATGGTTATATATGAAATAGAGGGCAAATGGAGTATAGGAATATTCGTGGGGCTAAGCCTGTAATCACGAGATTGCCAGGAGCTACTGCAGCCTGATTGTTATCTTGTATCTACACCCACCACTTTATCGCCGGCCATCTTATTACTCCCGACATATTGACGTCACGCACGTACTCTGAGTTTTGGACCTCAAACTCTCCGTTTATTCCTTTTTTTTTATTCGTTCACTTCCTTTTTTTCTATTTTTCTTCTTTATTCTACTCTCGCCTCAGGCCCATATCGCTAGCGAAAATTTCAGCACACTGAAATGCCAGTTAAACCATTGTAAACGCTCTTCTCTGTTGCCGTCACTTCCGGCGATTTTTCAGTCAAATTTCTGGAGAAGTAGTCAAGTAAAGCGACTGACTAAAATACATAAAGAGATTACTAATTATTCAAAAATAAATGAAAAAAATTATTTTAAATCTTGTGCAGTTTAAGAAAGAAAAAGAATTTACAAACTGCAAAATGCAATTATTGGTATTACGTCAGACCTGAGGGTATCACGAGTGGTGTATACTTCTTCTGATCTTTTTAAAACTTACAAGTGAGTGAGTGATACTCTGAAACCGATGAAATAACGTGGCGTAGACATGGACTTGCTATGTTGGATCATTTCACACGGGATAAGGATGGTTATTTATCTATTCAAATTACTAAATATTTTTTTTTTTAAATTGATACCCAATTATTGGAGTATATTAATTTACTCCAAATTACTCCAAAAAATTTGATTGAATAATTATAATAAATATTGATTCACATTGATTCTGCAAGTGATAGAAATAACAGAAGAATATTTTTCTCTTCTAAAAGAAGTCTATTTCCAAAAGATTCTATTCTCATTTCAATTCGTACCTAACGTGATCGTATAGATAAATAAAATATTCTAAATGTCCCCATACATGTCACAATATTTTGTCAAAATCAAAATACAACATCGATTAATTAAATTCAATCGTTAGACTACCTGATAAAAAAAAAGAAAAAAACGATTAGATCATCAATTTAATGATGAAACACTGCTATGAATAGGGATATTCATTAACGTACATTAATTTACCATCAAAGTTGCCACCGCGAAGTTACATTCTCTTCTTGTCGGAAACGATCTTGCTCGTCAGTA